GGCATACGTATGTTGGAAAGAAAGATAAAATAGTTTCTATTCATTTATGACATGATTGTCTACAAAGAAAATTCTGCAAACTGAAGTTTTAGCAAAGTTGCAAAATATAAGATCAGCATACAGAAATCAATTGAATGCCTATATACTAGTAACAATTCATTACAAATTGAAAATCTTTAAAGTACTATTTATAACCCCAAAGCATGAAATAGCTGCATCTAAATCTAACATGTGAAAGATTTAAATAGTAAGAAAGTATTAAACACTAATAAAAGAAATTAAACAAGATCTTAATAAATAAAAAGATATTCATTGGCCATGAAAAGGAGATTCAAAATAATAAAAATGTAAATTCTTTGTAATTAATCTATAAATTCAACACAATCCCAATAACAATCCGAGTAGAGCTTTTTTTATTGACGTATAGTCAGTTAAAATTGTCAATTCTCATGTACATTATAATGTTTCAGTCATACATATATATACATGTATTTGCTTTCATATTCCTTTTCCTTATAGTTGACTACAAGATATTGAATATGGTTCCCTTTGCTATACAGAAGAAATTTGGGTTTTTTAATTCTGTTTATATGTAGTAGTTAGTATTTGCAAATCTCAAACCCCCAGTTCATCCCTTCCCACCATCTTTCCCCCCCAGGTAATCATAAGTTTGTTTATTATGCCTGTGAGTCTCTTTCTCTTTGGTAGACAAGTTCGTTAGTGTCTTCTTTCTTTCTTTTTTTTAAGATTCTATACATGAGGGATATCATATGGTATTTTTGTTTCTCTTTCTGGCTTACTTCATTTAGAATGATGATCTCCAGATCCATCCATGTTACTACAAATGGCATTGTTTTATTCTTTTTCATTGCTGAGTAGTATTTCATTGTATAAATACACCACAGCTTCTTTATCTAGTCATCTGTCAATGGACATTTTTGTTTCCATGTCTTCACTATTGTATATAGTGCTGCTGTGAACATTGGGATGCATGTACATTTTTTTAATTTGAGTTCCCTCCTGATACATACCCAGGAGTGGGATTTCTGGATCATATGGTAAGTCTATTTTTAGTCTTTTGAGGACTCTCCATACTATTTTTCTTAATGGCTGCATTACACTACATTTCCCCCAACAGTGTAGGAGGGTTCCCTTTTCTCTACAACCTCTCCAGCATTTACT